TATTCCAAAATTAGTCAATAGTTGATCAGGCTATAACAATTCTTTTCATGCCTCTGCTGCTATGTATTCTGACTCTGTGAAAGATAACCCTATTCCTTGTTTGTGGGTGGCCTAGAAAACCAACCATTTTCATAAAAAGACATGAAGCCACTAATAGTTTGGTAATCTGTTGCTCAGTTTGCATCAGTGCAGCATACACATTTTTGATTTATTGATCCATGTAACATACAAGTTTTGGATTTTAACAGTTTAAACTTAATAGTCCCATTTAGGCACAGAAGGACTTCATCTCTGTCCTTCTTTGTGTTTCGGCTAGCATTCCTCCTCAGCACCCCTACAACAGAAGCTATTTCAGGTATAGTATCAATAGATACACAGAAGTTTCTCTGCTACTATTCTGTTTAACTTGTTACTTGGAAGAGAGTCACTTTCTCTGTTACTTTTAAGAAATTCTGTTACCATGGTGTTATTCCACAATCCTAGAGTTTTGAAATTTTTCACTTTTGGAGAAAGAAAAAATATTCTTCCATCTATATGCCTAGATCTGAACATCACTTCTATTTCATGTGAAATATTAATTTGCTATTTTCCCCAGTTTTCAAATCATTTAAAAAGAGTTCAACACTTATATGCTACAAGTTTTTTTTGTATCAGGAGCAACTTGAGAAACTACAAGTCACTTCTGGTGTGAGGGAATTGGCCATCTGCAAGAATGTTGCCCAGGGGACACCCAGATGTTTGATGTTTTACTATCCTTGGGGGAGGCTTCTCTCATGTCCCCGCATCGGGAGCTGGAGCTGACATGGGAACTCAACCCACTCTTCCCAGATTCGAACCGCTGACATATTGGTCAGCAGTCCTGCTGGCACAAGGGTTTAACCCATTGTGCCACAGGGGACTCCTACAGGTGAAATACTTCTTTATCTTTGCGAAATGAACTTCTCTGTCACTCTGTTCATTGAGATATAGAGGCCAAGTCTGGATTTACAGTTTCAGTTCACACAGATTTTGTCTAATGAATTCAGACATGCATCTGATCCCTTTCCCCATGGTCAACACACTGTTCCTATAGTCAGGACCTGCATTTCTCTGGTAATAATTATAGATTCTGATCCTGTGGCATTCTTATAGGAAGCAACCAGAATCTGGGATAGTTAATTGTTCGTATCCAATGTAGTTTTCTGAATCAGCACCCCAAATAACCAAACCGAATCTAAAGTTGACCAAAAACTGATTCGTAACCCTGGTCCCAGAGTGGTCCCAGGTCCAAGTGGTCCCTGGTCAAAAAAAGGTCGGCAACCACCGAGCTACATGATCCAGGTGACCATTGGTATCAACCCTACATATTAACAATGCACCATGAAGCCTAATTTGAGAATGTGGGAAAGAAATGGGGATAACAATCATGTTGTGCTTTGCAATGCAAATTATATTATGGAGACCTCGGTACACTCCTTCTATACCTGGGTCGTTGTCCTCTTCCACCAAGACTGCAGCTTTGGGAGGGACACACATGGAGCAGTGAGGAATGAAGGGAACATCCACCTAGCCAGCCAAATCAGATGAATCACCCTGGTGATCACTGGGGTGACAGATGTTGTAGCCAGATCACCTTCACATCCAATTACATTATGGTAGATTTTGTAGTTGCTCAGTCATCACCAGTTGCATGAAACCTTTCATATCTCTTTCTATTGATTTAAAATCTTTACAGAGAACATACTTAGAGCATTCCTGATTGGCTATAAATTATCACCCTTTCACATTATATAATTATAACACTATGATTTAATGTCATCTTTCCTAAGAAATCCAGGGATTTGTAGTTTAGAGAAGAGGCATTGACAATTCTCAGCCAGAGAGCCTTAGTGTTTCACCAAATTGTAACCTCCAGAATCCCATAGGATTTAGCTCTGGCAGTTAAAGTGACTTTTAGGATGGGTCAGGAAAAAGTAACATAACCAACAATGATCCTTCACTAGTTCTTTTCTATATATCAGAACATTTGACACATGCTTGATATGACTTCTTTTAAAATAACACTAATTTCAAAGCAAAGAAGTATATTTCTTCTTGCACTTACAGCTGAAGTTCTATTTTGGAGCCATGTCTCTAAGGATGGTTTTCGTTGCCTCTTTTGCTTCTATTTATACAATTTCACAATTTCTTTGGCAGAGACTGGAGTACATACCAGGGTGTTGCCTTTTATGAATCTCAGGAGATGTGAGAGGCAAACAGACTGGATGAACTTTGGTTACATATTCCAGACAAGCACAATGGCTCTATTTATTCAGCCTAAGCTGCTGAATGCAGATTGATTGACTCTGTGGGCAATAAATTTTCACAGCCACAAAACCTCAGTAGCAACCAACCTGATCCTGTACCGGAAAAAAAAAATCCTGCCTACAGGACTGGGTGGTAAAAATAGGTTAGATTATTTTTCCACATATGTAAACTAGTCAGTCAAATTCTTTTGCCATTGACTGACATGAACTTCACAATTGGCTTCTGAGATTCATTCACTCTCTTAAAGGTTCTTTTCTCAACAGTAACACTACAGAGCAAAAATGATGGCAAGAAAAGCAAGCAGGATGGAAGAAAAGAAGAGAGAAAAAGAAAAGGAGAGTAGTGTATCTGTGTAATAGTTTGTAATTGCTGTTTAATAATGCACCTAATGCTAATTTAAATTGCCCAATGACCTCTATAATTAAGAAGAGAGAATTTAATATAGATATTTCATGTGCCATTCCACACTTCAGGGAACCAAGAGGCAATAATCACCACAATTCAATACTCCAAACCATCCTAACTAGGGTTTTTGACATCTCCGTGACACAAATCTTCTCATATTTCCCCGGCTACCAAAAATGAAGGCAAAGATTATTATGTTATGCATAATAAATCAAAGGGAAGTGGATGATTTTAACTTGCAGATTTATGTTAACTACCCAGCAGTCTGCTAATTGTGAGCTCTTCATGTAGTATTGATTGGAATTTTCAAAGGGAAGGGTTTTTTTATGTTGATAAACTTAAATATACAAACAGGAACATTTCTTCCCACACATTAAATCTTGGGAACATTGCCTGTAAAATGAAACTATAATTTAAACTGGAAAAATACTTAAAAGACAATCCTTAAAACAATACTTTATATAATTAAAATTAAACAAACATTTAATGTTTGTTTATCCACTTCCCCAGCCCCATACTACTTCATTGCACTAGCCCTGGCCTAGCCCTCTCATAGCTGTCTAGGCCCACTTTCAAACTCTGTCCATTGGTAGTTTGAATCTTGTCCGATGGAATAATACTGGGAATGTGTGTGGTTGCTTTAACGGTGTTATGTTTATGTTTTATAATTGTTATTTTGTATGGTTTTGTGCTGGTAATTGAATGATTTGCCCTATGCTGGAAACCGCCCTGAATTTCCTCAGGAAGACAGAGCGGTATGCAAATAAAGTTGTTGTTGTTGTTGTTGTTGTTGTTGTTATTCTTCTGACATAAAAACACAGTATGCCACAGCAAACGAGATAAATATGCTGGATTTCATATCACAAAATCACAAGTCAAACACTTCCCAAGCGTTTAGGACTCTGTGATATATTTTCGAATGATGCGCGCAGCTCCAAGTAAGGTGACCTTTTGCAGTTGACAGATCGTGATTTTGTCTTTTTATTGTTCTTTTTGGTTTTATTGATTTGTCAATGTTTATTGTTTCCAAATGCCATCTGAGATCTTTCGGCACAGCGCCCAGTGTGCCCATTACCTCTGGAACCACCTGTACTGGTTTATGCCAGAGCCTTTGCAGTTCCGTTTTGAGGTCTTGATAATGGCTGAGTTTTTCCTGTTGTTTTTCATCAATTCGACTGTCACCTGGTATGGTGACATCAATAATCCAAACTTTTTTCTTCTTCACAATCATGATGTCTGGTGTATTGTGTTTCAAAACTTTGTCAGTTTGGATTTGAAAGCCCCACAGTATTTTTGTGTGTTCATTTTCCACTACCTTTTCAGGTTTATGATCCCACAAGTTCTTTACTACTAGCAGGTGGTACTTGTGACAAAAGTTCCAATGAATAATTTGGGCCACATAGTTGTGCCTGTGTTTGCAGTCCATCTGTGCAATTTTCTTGCAGCATATTCTTATTCTTATTATTATGTATGAATAATATAATTATTGTAGGTTTTTCTCTATGTGATCAGCTCATCATTGTATTTCCTTTCTCCTGTGTCTTCTTGTTTACTTTTACATTTATTTAATGTTCTTTCTAGAGAGCCTTATTGATAAAGTCACCGATTCTCTGCTTTTATACTTATGCCCTTATTGCTTCAATTCTTCATTTTGTAAAATCCCCAGGCTTGTTCCCCAATGGCATCTTTCAATTTTTCAATTCTTGGTAAAAAGAAAAAGAAAAAGAAAAAAGAGGGAGGCTACCCAGCTTAAGCCTATTTGAACTCTGTAACTTGACCCCCTTGAGAAATCCCTCTACTTTCTCCTGGTGAAGGAAATAATTTCTGAATGTTTTAAAGAGCATCTTAAATCTAGTAAATCATGGTGTTAAATCACCATATTCCAGAGCTAAGTGATGATGTAGGAAACAGATGTTAAGGCTTAGTCCTGTGGAACTTTGTCCTAAACTGAGCCTTTTTTTCTTTTTATGGCCAGTTAGTTTTGCCTTCCCCAAACTTGGCAACAAGCGCATGGCCTTGCATCAAGACTCTGATTTGCCACTAAAGTGTTCAATGGAGCTGTGTTGGAATTAATAGGTACATGTTGATCAGAATTTGTCCAAGGGAATGTGTGGAATATATTACCTGGAGGAAAAAAAATCATCAAACTGCTAAACTTTCCATCAAAAGCCACAATCATGGCTAAATGACACCCTAAACTACATATATAATCATTCTTATTACATTTAAACAAATTATCAGAAGTCTCTATCAGCACTGCTAGACCATTAGACCATTAATTCATCAAATACAAATGCTAGCCTGCATACCTGTTCATTGTCCTCTTCATCACTGCTCAGTTTGAGGTCATCTTCTAACATTCTGGAAAAAAAATAACAGAACACCTATATTTAAATTCAACGGGACAATCCAAATATCATAAATATTTCTAAATTACAAACACTTTAAGAAAAGCCCTGCTAAGTCAAATGTAAGATATTTCAAGTTCAGCATCCTTTCCTCTACCTACAGTTGTCCTACAAAATACCCAAGAAAAACCACACCTTGATGTTATTTAGCAATGATGGGTAATGTGTAACTATCCAGATGTTACTGGACTGCAACTCCCATTTGGTTATGCTGGTTTGAACTGGTTGGAGTTGTAGTCCTACATCAGGGGAGTCACAGTTCAACAACACCAGGTACGCCACATGTTATCTATGGTTATTATCTGTCTTGGTAAGCAATTAAGCAATAACATTTAATTTCCAATAACGTGCAAATATCAATGAAAGTAGAAATGATTGTTTAAACAATCTTATGTGATATTATAAAGTCAATTTCTAATAGTATATTGACTCCTACACAACTTTTGGTATGAACTTCAGCATCTTTCTCCAGAACATATCTCAAGGGAACAAAACCTAATTGGAGCATTACAATTGTAGTAAGATCCCCCATATCTATGTGGGATACATTCCAAGTCAGACTGCAGTGACTCTATGGTACCTTCTGTGGGAAACATGGAGGACCTAGCAAATTCCTAGAGAGGCCATCAACCTCCAGGCACAGGTAAGTGAAATTGCAGACAAAGGTCCTGCAGTTACAGGGATCTCACTGTACTTACATAACAAATAGTAATGTCCTTCTCTGTAGTGCTGCATCTTTCCATGGAAGCTTCTAATTTGATTCAATTGCAGATATTAAATTAGTAAACACTAACTTTCCAAACTTAAACGCACCCAATAAAATTCTGAAAAAATATGGACAGTATTCCATTGTTACTACTAAAGACATTATAAAAGGTATTTCTGAAATGTGGAAATCTGAAATGTAGTTATATATGTCAAATGGGCAATTTAATTATCTTTCTTTCTGAAATCTGTTCAAATGAGAAAAGAATTAACAACAAATGCCATTTAATATGTTGAAGGGTATGTCTAGTCTGAAAAATAAACACACAAATGTGGAAATGCTCAACATCAAAGAATTTTTGAAAATGTAATCTGAATAATCTCCAATGTTATATTTGGTAGTTAGCTTGTGGAAATGACTACTGACAAGGGACCATTTCTTCATAAGAAAAATGTAAGAAGTGGATCTATAAATTGATGGGAATTCTGACTTCTTCTTGTATGAAAAGAAAAATCTCACTGTCCTAATGAAAGGCAGGCCTCAAGCTTACATTATTTGCATGAGTGGATTACTCCCCACAGATAATCAGAGTCAGTATGCTGGTGGTTCTGTCCAGCCAGAACGGTATTGATTTGGCTGCTGAGAAATATAAAAATCTTCATTTAATATTATTGTTCTATTTGATCTTTTGTTATAGTGTTTCTATTAAGTGTTTAATGCATTTTATTGTATTTGTTGTGATTTACTGGGACAGGAGAGAAGTCAAGGAGGCAAGAAGGTACCAATAACTTATAAAACCAAGACAAGCCAAGGGATGTGCAAAAGAGAATTAAGGACCTAGTTCCAAGTGCCCAATAAATAAGGCAGAGGACCCTTCCACACAGCCCTATATTCAAGAATATCAAGGCAGAAAATCACACAATATCTGCTTTGAACTGAGTTATCTGAGTCCATATGGCTGTGTGGAAGGGCCCAGAGTCTCCAAGTTGGCTTGGGTCTCTTTCACGCAGGGTGAGGGAAAATGTCTAGGCCAGACATGGCCAAACTTTGGCCCTCCAAGTGTTTTGGACTCCAACTCCCACAATTCCTAACACCCTCAGACCCCTTCCTTTGCCCCCTCAGACATTAATTAAGAAAATTAATGTCTGGTAACCAAAGGGAGGGGAAATTAGGATTTTAGAGATGTTCAGGTGGGGCATGGCCAAAAAGAGGTTGGAAACACTGGTCTAGATCGTGATTAATGCTTGCTTTTTCTAGGGAGGCTACTTTGGGGGGAGGGGGTTGGGAACAGCTGGAGTCATCTTCAAACATTTGTGTACTGCTGCTATACCAGAGGGAGGCATCATCATATTTTATGCTGGTTGATCTGGGAAATGTAATTTGCATGATTGGACAGACGTCTGTTAAACATGAAAGGAACAAGGAACACCTATTCTGCATGGGGTTGTACTGTGTGGACTGAAATTGGGAAAGAGAGGAGAGGCTAATGTTTGTGGTGGATCTGACCCCTTCCACACAGCTGTATAAAATCCAGCATGTTGTGTACTGGATCTTTTATTTAATAAGAAAATTAAAAGGATATATTGTTGATGGCTTTCATTGCTGGAAGCACTGGGTTGTTGTAGGTTTTTCGGGCTGTATGGCCATGTTCTAGAAGCATTCCCTCCTGACATTTCCCCTGCAACTTTGGCAGGCATTCTCTGAGGTTGCCTACCATAGATGCAGGTGAAAAGTCAGGAGAGAATGCTTCTAGAACATGGCCATACAGCCCGAAAAACCTACAACAACCCAGTAAAAAAGGATAGATTGGGAATTCACTTTGAGAACGAATGGTGTTCTTTCATGAATGCAGGAATTCCGATGGCCAATCAGTAACTATCAACAAGGAAATTTTGTTTTGAGGGGTCATCTAGCGGAAATTCCAAGAAAAAGACCACCCTGATATATATAAGATTAAACTTTTAAGACTATGGCAAGAGATTTGCATTCTTTTATCATACTACGAACAGTACCTAGGTTGTACAACATCAATATTTTATGAATAATGAGACAGACACATGTTTTCATCTATGTTAATGAAGTGAAATTTATTACTGCTGTCTTTACCTTATCACACACCAGATGGTCAACTTTTCCTAATGCATATCTATAGCCAAAGCATGTATTTCATTTAAGAGAATCTGTTCCTACAACATCAACAAAACTATGGTACATCTTTAAACCAGTTGTGGTAACTAAGCAGTGAAATAGTTCCACATCCCAGAAAAGTAATGCGTATCTCTTTCTGTGTATGTTCTGTTCCTTTTGAAGAAGCATGCAAGCAAAATAATAATAATAATAATGCCAGAGGGTGTCACTTATCTATCACAAAGAACTGACATATTAGTTATTAGCAAATATCTTAGTGGGGCAAATATTAAAGGTAAAGATAAAGGTTTCCCCTTGACATTAAGTCTAATCGAGTCCGACTTTGCAGGGTGGTGCTCCCCTCCATTTCCAAGCCAAAGAGCCGGTGTTGTCCGCAGACACCTCCTAGGTCATGTGGCCGGCATGACTGCATGGAGCACCATTACCTTCCTGCAGAAATACTACCTGTTGATCTACTCACATTTGCATGTCTTCGAACTGCTAGGTTGGCAGAAGTTGGGGCTAACAATGAGAGCTCACTCCATCCTGCAGATTCGAATTGTCGACCTTCCGGTCAGCAAGTTCTGCAGGTTAGTGGTTTAACCTGCTGCACCACTGTGGCTCCTGTTTTATAATAGCAAATATTACTCCAGCTGCTGATCTTAAAGAGGAGACACCAGATCCTTGCACTGAGTCCAGTGCAATTCAGCATCTTTATTAATGACTAGCCATCCCCGTCATGCATTGTTCTGGCCCAGTCTGTGTACATGTGTTTTGTGTCTATATGTGTGTATATGTGTGTTTGCATGCATTGTATGTGTGGTTTTGTGCATGCATTGTAGTGTAAATTTTATTTTTTTGGCTTTTAAAGTCTGTTCTGCTGTGTTTGTCAGTGTTTTTATGAGTGATGGTCACTCGTTGGCCTGATAGGTGTATCGAGTCCAAATGTGTCACTTCGTCCAGTGGTTTTTGAGTTATGTTAATTCCACAAACGAACATTACATTTTTATTTTTACAGATTTGGATGATGGAATAAGAGAGTATGGTTATCAGATTTAGGCATAATGCCAAATTAAAGAGATAGCAAATACCTCTGGGGCAGGATCAGAATCCAAAATGACCATAAACTGGGATTGAAATTTGGAACTTTTTCCATGGATGTTTTATGGAAAGATTTGAGTTTCAGTTTGTTCTATCTCTGCCCTACAAAATACTTGGAAGTAAACTCTGCAGAGTGAGCTAACACTTTCAACCCACCACAGGATTCAATGACATGAGAAAATTTAGCGTAAATAATACTGTTCACTTTATGTACCATATAGTTTAAAATCAAAATAAGGTCAGGGCTCAGTACTACTACAACATAGAAATCAACCTTTTATAGAATCAGATCACTGAAAAATACCATAAAATTGTATTTCCTATACCATTTTTTTTAGAAAGGAGTGCAAAATTACTCCTTAAAGGTGCCAGATTTATTGTCCAGAGTTTAAAAGGTTTCTACAACACCATCCCACTTTAGGATAAAAAAGCACCATAAAAACAAATGCATGTGTAAAAATGAAAGAACAATGACCACTTGCCAGAATATTACTTTTCTTCGCCAGCCTAAATATTCCCATCCGTCAAGGAGCCTGCCAAAGTTTCAAGACTAATCACTTATCCCATCACAGGAGGAAACAGCTTTAAGCAATAAAGTGTTTAAGAGAGCCACTTGGTTTACCAATTCATATCTTGCCTCCTTTGATTCCACTTACTTCATTCCTGCTGCTAGTGATTAATAGCTATTTTGGTAAGTTTATGTTTCTTCAATTTCTGGTAACAGTCTACTGCTGTCTTTTAAAAATATTACTTAATTTTTAAACACGAAGGTCACTGGAAGAACATAACCTACACCACTGTTTTGTGTAATGAGTCATGCCATATTATAAATTTTAGCAGTGTTTACACTCACCAGGTTGCCAGCAGGCTTGCTGAATGTGCAGCATCTTATTACCCGTCACAGTCATTTTAAAGTATTTTCTTATGTTCCTTATTTAAAAATAATTAGTTAGCTTAAGTCTTACCATGATTTCATGTGTGTAGCTCAAACATAGAAAAATGAGCAAAAATCATAATAG